ATGCTTTTTCCATGTAATTTTTTACTTTCTTCTATTTTCAAAAAAGGTCATTTGAAAACTGCAACATAATATGTTTTTAAAACAGAACAGTGAGCTTTATTCTAGATACATCATTCTGGAGTTTTCATTCTGCAAAAAAAAAAATGTTTTCAGTTAATTGGGAAAAATCTGTGAAGTCTGCAGGCCACTCTAGTTTTATTTGTTGTCATTTGTAAGTTGCTTGTGTATGGGATGTTTGGGTTTTTTTATGTGTGCAGCAAAACAAAAATATGTGTTTTGTTAGAGGCTTAATTATGGAGCCTAAACATCTTACAAAGAATAATTTAGGTGATACAAAGCTTTTTCTACCCACGTTTGTGTTCCGTCTCACCACTGTAGGTGAAAAGAGCTATTTTCTGATGTCTCTTGATAAGGATTAGGATTATTGTTGTCATGTTGATTTTCTGTATCTCTTAAGTGACAATTACGAATAAAATTACATCAGAGTATAAAAGATTAAGTAAACATAAAATGCAGCTATTACTATTTGTTTTCTGGAGTTGTGTAAAACTGTTCACTTATGAAAGCTTTACAAATTAATAGCATGGTAAATAGCAATAGATAATGAGGTTTGATAAAGATGCAATATTAAAAATACAGTATTAAAATGATAGGTGGTGGCATGGTGGACCATCTACCTGACTTGCTGGGCTTGCTTTTGATACAAATATTTGTTGGTTTTGAATTAGGTATAGGTCAGCATCATAGTCAGTGGTCTCGGCATTGGATTTAATCGTATCGTAGGTATTCTGGTAAACAAGTTTGCAGGGATTTCAAGGTAAACATGAAATGCTTTTGTAGGTATTTGTAGGAATTGTCTCGAGCTAAACAGATAGCAAGAGAGAAGATCTGAAGATTTGACAGCTGGGCATTGAAGGCCAACTTTGAGGATTGAGCAGTTGGGAAGAGTGAGCGTTTTAATACTGAATGAAAGATGCCACAATGCAGAGAGACCTTAAAAGTAAATTGGCCATGAAGGGCTTTGTTTGATATAACAGAGAAAATTGTACAAATGGAAAGGGCAACATAAATCTTTGCTGTGTCCCAGTTAACCATGACCCAGCGGATTGGTACATCAAGGTGAGAGAGAAGGACCTTAAAGATGAAGGGCGACCCAAAGGTGAGAAGGACAATCTCATCTTACTTTGCTCAACTATATCTTGGAATACATTGGTCAGGCTTTTATTCTTATTTTAAGAGCAGAGAAACAAAAACATTGGGAGTATATACATGAGGTTCAGTGAAGCTCAAGAAACAAAATTGTCTACTTATGAAGATGATTTGACTGAAGAAGTACTCTTATAATAGAAGAAATTTGGTGATTTTAGTGCTTCCAGAGGTGGTTTTAGAGAGAGCATGAAATGAAGAAGCAAGTGGTAAATGTAGTCAGAGTCTGCGGGGACAAACCTTGCAATAAAATGGGTGGGTCTTAAAAGTTAAGTGATGCATTGAAAAAATAGAGAAGTACAGTATGAGAAAAGGAGATACCTATTGTCGTGGTTTAACCCCAGCCAGCAACTCAGCCCCACACAGCTGCTCACCCACTCCCCGCCGGTGGGGTCGGGGAGAGAACCAGAAGGGTAAAAGTGAGCAAACTCGTGGGTTGAGATAAAGACAGTTGAATAGGGAAAGCAAAAGCTGTGCACGCAAGCAGAGCAAACCAAGGAATTCCTTCCCTGCTTCCCGTGGGCAGGCAGGTGCTCAGCCATCCCCAGGAAAGCCGGGCTCCATCACGCCTGACGCTGACTTGGGCAGACAAACGCCGTCGCTCCCAACGTCCCCCCCTTCCTTCTCCCCCCAGCTCTGTGTGCTGAGCATGACGCCATGGGGTGTGGGCAATACCTTGGGGCAGCTGGGCTCAGCTGTCCCG